CCGGGCCCGGCAGTGGCCAACCGGCGGCGAGCCCGAGGGCTTGGGGGAGGGCGCCGCTGCGTCCAGTCCCGCCCTACCCCTGACGGGGCGCTGGGGGCGGAATCCCGGGAGCCGCTTCGGTTGGCCCGCTGCGCTCTTACGACAGTGCCGTAAAGCAGGCGCCGCTGAGAGGCCAATGGCGGCCGCATCGCGAAGCGCTCTGCGGCTTTGCTGCTTCTGCCGTTGCCGCTGCAGCTGCTCGGGGCCGGCGCGCGCCCAGGGGGTGGGGTCAGGCGAGCGGGGGCGCGGCGGGGTAGGTGTGGCAGGAGGGGCGCGGGACTCTGTGGCCGTTGGCCCCGCCCTACCGTAATGGGTGGTAACGCTGTCGCGGGCCCTGCCCTATCGTAATTCACGGGCTGTACGACACAGGCCACTCCTGGCTTGGCCGTGCTAGACCAGTTTTGGGCTGGCTGTTCTGACGGATCGTCAAGTTCTAGCGCTTCATAAGCAACCCAGTTCCCCTCCACTGGGCTACGAGCTCCCCCACAATTTATGGATTAAACTAACTGGGATTTGCTCTGGAGATGGACGCTTTATGCCATGCTCATAGTTTCTCCAGTTGGAAGGGACCTGACTAGATCATCAAGTCCGACCCCCTGCCCTGGGCAGGAACGAGTGCTGGGATCGTAACACCCCAGCCAAATATCTATCCAGCCTCCTCTTGAAGACCCCCAGGGTAGGGGAGAGCACCACCTCCTTTGGGAGCCCCTTCCAGAGCCTGGCAGCCCTCACTGTAAAGTGATGCCTCCTGATATCAACCCTGAACCTGCTCTCAATCAATTTGTAGCCAGTTTGTTTCTGTTGTGCCTTTCACATGGACAGCTCTGCGTGCTTGAGGGAGCTGTGAACATCCCTGGCAGAGACAAACTCGCCATGTTCGCACTTGAGGAAAGTGGCAGCGTTGGAACGATGCCGAGGTTGTGATGGTCCAGGAATCGTGCAAAAGAAGAGGATTTCTTAGGGTGGTGTCTTTTATTAGACCAGCCACCTAGTTGGGATAGAATTAGACAAGCATTTGAATGCAAGGCCACCTTCATCAGGTCTGAGCTTCCAAAAGCTTGTCTGACTCCATCCCAGCTATGTGGTTGGTCCAATAAAAGATATCACACTAAGAAATCCCTGCCTGTTGCACAGTTTGGGAAACTAAACCACAAAAAAGTAATTATTTTCCCAAACCAAGCAATGAGTTATTAACAAGGTGTGCTAGAAATGGGGTGTTTTCCCTGCTCCAGCTTTGACAACTCCCTGGGGAGTCTTTACTTGCTATTATTGGACACGCAGAAGCAAAGAATAAATAGAAAATAATACCACAGAAGTTTCGAAGGCAGGGCCGGGTGGCCTCTGGAGACTAACTGGTTCTGAGAAGCATGAGCTTTCATAACCTACAGCCTACTTTGTCAGGCTGTATAAATGGACTTGCAGAAATAAAGGGTTTTTAGTAAAAGGGAATTTAAATACAATGGAAGGGGACACTGCAGTCCCTTGTATTGCTATCAAAAATCTTAACGGGACAAAATGTTAAGTGAAACAGTCATTTGTTGTGTATGTGATCCATGTTTGTTGTATGACTCACAGGTCACTTGTGCATCTCTGTCACGTTGCCAAGCATAGAAGTGAATCATGAATTACTGTAGTAAATTTAAATCAGATTAAACCAAACTCGCATTCTTTTTTCAAATATTCAGTTACTTCACACAGCTGAGTAGAACTTTAAAACCTGTATTATAATATGTTTCTGTGAACTTATGTACAAAATCTAAATAATTCCAAATGCTTGTTATTCCTTTCGTTTCTTTTTCCCCAAGGTTTCAAGCTTCTGCCCTCCGGCACATTCTTGTAATGATTGGATCGGCCCTCCTGACAGATATTCAAACCTCCGACCAATAATATTTTATGTTCCTAAACATGAATCATCGCTGGAACGAAGACTTAGGGAATTTAGACAAGAAACTCAAATGTGGAATCAACAATTCTGGGCAAACCAGAATGTGTCATTCCAACAGGTGAGCGTGTAGATGAGGTACTAAGCCACTTGGTGGTGCTGAGTTTCTTTAAGAGCTTGCGGTGTTAATAGCTGATAGATGAATGGAATTATGTTTCTTATGTGGAAGATTTTCACAGCTGCACTGCAGAGTGACCTTGAAGCATGATCGCTCTTTATTATATAACTCCTCAAAATAGTTGAGGTAATGCAAAGTATTTGTCTTCAAAAATATTATTAAATTATGTCTCTGCAGTTCTTTATCCTGTGCTTTTAAATTTGATTTTGTAGTTGATTCAGCCTGAATATTGTCAAAGAAAACCAGTTTCTAATGCATCTGTTTTTGTTGGTTTTTGTTTTTGCTGTTATATTGTCTTCTCAATACTGAAGAGCACATTTAAAGATCAACTACATAGTTAACCAGTGTATGTGTAGCTGCTGTTTAATGCAGTATAAAAATATTCTCCCTTTTTTCTGGCTTTTTATTTAATAAATATCAGGGTATGATTACCCCCTTTCATCCTGGAGCACCTGGCATTCAAGCTGGTTATTGAAACCTGAGCTGCAACTCTGATAACTCCATGATGAGTGGAAGCATAGATTCAGTTATAGAGGGAGAATAAGCATGAGCTTTTCTGTCCTGATATATCTTCCTAACTATGACTTTGGGCAGGTCATTTTCACTCCTAGTCCCTCTCAGGTTTTTTTATATGGTTGCACACTGGGGAGGAGGTACTGAATTTTAGGCTGAGGGAGCAACAGCAGCTTAGCTGTTAACCCCCACCTCTGATGACCTTGTCCAAGGTTCTCGAGAAAGTGATAAAGTTCTCTAAAGAAGAGAACAGTTTGCTTCCTTTAAATGTCAAAAAAAAAAATTGAGGGGTTCCTTTCTTTTTCAGTTTTAAAACCTTTTTTTTCACTGTTTAAGTAGCCTTGAATTAATTTAAAGGGGGAGCTACGTGTGTTATTTGGACTCAACTTTGTGTATAATGCAACAAGACCTAATTTGATAAATTGCCTTGTTTAAAACTTACAGTGTAAGTTCCTGATTCTGTGAACTTACGCACGTGTATAAGTTAACCCACACAAACAAATCACATTTATTTCTGTGGGATTCTGTATATAAATAAACTCATACACAAATGTAACGGTGTGCAGGATCAGGGCTCAGTGACTGTTTCCTTAAGAGGATCAAATGAACTGATTATTGGATTAAGCAACAAACACTGTTGTCATT